AATGTGCTTTTAACGATCGAACAATATTTAATCGGGATAGAAAAACGATGTTAGAATGCGCGACCCGTTAGATATGACCCGCAAAATGCATTTTTGAACATTAAACCATTTTTAATTTTAACATTTTGCGGTGCATGGCGTTAAATATGCGTTGCAATGTACATGAAAGATAATTGTGTTCGTTTAGAGGAATATGTTTTTATTATTTCTATATTTAAATAGCTTTTTTTTTTTAATATACACGCAATGTTTTTTTAAAATAACTTTTTTGTTTAATACACGCAATACAATTTTTTGATGCTATTATATCATTCCGCGTGTTTCAACCCAAAATAAAAAATTTACCTCTTTTACAATATTTTTGTAATTAAACTAAATTTCCGAACGTATATTTAATTTCTTAACAAAATTATATTACACTTAATATATAAAACTCAGAAAATGATAAGATTAATGTGCGTCATATAAAGCTGAAAAGGAAGAAATAATGGCAAAAATACTGAGATAATTGGAATAATTTAATTAAAGAAGAAATGATAGAGCAAATTATTGGTTTATTTGTGATAAATTTCAACAACATCGAATAATTTCTCATATTTTCGTATCTCTGCGTTGCCAATAAAGTAATCAAAAGCATTCACGATACGTTTAGTTGTGCGTTTTATTGGAAAATACAATTTTCTAGTTAGAAAAGCATTCTCTTGCTTTCATGTGAAAAAACAGAATTTCACTCTCAGGAACCTATCTTGCAAATTGATCGAAATGCCAGCATACTTTTTCATCGTTTTCGGTTGTTCACGCGCGCGTCAGCACCGACAAAAAAACGAAAATTTTTCGCGAAAATTTCATTCCGCGCGTTCCGACCGATTCGCGCATGCTTGGTCAAGGGAAACTGCATAACTTCCGCCTGAAAACAGCGCTATATAATACGCTTGAAAAAATAGCGACGTTATCTGTAAACTCTAGTGTTGAAATTGCGTTCGGGAAATAATGAAACAAAGACCCAGCTGTAGTTTCAACGCGCGCGCTAAATCTTTGGAGAAGAGCTAGTCACGGTTAATCAGTCGTTGCACCGAACGGCACGCATGTCCGACTTAACAAAGGCCTAATGATCCAATTAAAAGGAGATTGCCCTGATTGGAAACTAGCTGGAATCCGATCAAAATCATTCCGCGGTAACGACCGGGGTATTCGATATACGGCTTGTAATACGTACGTAATCATACTCCGGATATCCGCGGTTATCCGCGGAGCATCCGATGGCCGCCTATCCGCTCGTCGTTTCGTGTTCTCGAAACGAGTAAAACGACGGCCGACCGTCGCTCAGGAATACGCTCGACATTAAAAAACGTCCGTCGAGTGTCGCCGATTTTTTTCCGGCGAGGCTTAAATTTTTTTCATCCCCTCGCGTTTCATCAGTCTGCTATTTAAGCAGTCCTGTCGCGCCCCGAGAGCCCTTCCTCTAATCTCCCGAGGATTAGACGGTATAAACGGTTCCTACCGCGTGTCTAGAGCTCTTTATCGTGCGATTTCACGCGCTCTGCGTCCTCATAAATGCAAAGTTTATTGCTCCCGCGAAGAGATACCGTAGACACAAATGCTAGTGGTTTCGCAGGATGAGGTCGAATTTCGAGAGCGAAACAGAGTCTACCCATACATTTTCTGCCGGCGGCCAATTACGAGAGACGGTAACTGCCATCCTTTATAAAGGCCGATTCATACTATATTCCGCTCAACGCCCTTTTTTCGCGCGAGCCTCGCTTCGACGAACGGTTTAATTACGATCTGATAGTTTCACAATGGTGTCGGCTGCGTCGTGTGCGTGCACGTGTTAAACGCGTATCCGTACGCAATCGCAACAATCCGCGAGAAATATCGATCTTCATTACGAATCACGACGCGCAAACAAGGCAGTCGATGAGGTCGCGCGGCGACCGAGTAGGAATTTGGATCCGCTTGACTTGCGTGGATCTGCTCGGCGAGAATGTACCGAGTAAAGAGTTCGAACGTCATTAACGCGTCCCGCTCGCGGCGTGTTAAACCGCGCTTCCGTGAAACATCGATCGAAACCAATTTGCCTCCATTTAAAGTTCTACATTTCCTAGACTTAATGCGACGAGAGTCGCTTCGCTTAATAAATTTCGTTAATTAAACGCGACTCGCGAGTCACGCGAGAAACAAAGGGTGAAAAATACGTTTCGCATGAGAATTTTGACAGAGAGTTGTGTGTGTTTGGGTGAAATTATTATTTTTCCTCTTTTTAGTAAAGATTCGATACAACGCGCAATCTTCCAGTTTGGGAGTTCCGCGCTAAAGTTTTACCCATGAATATTTTTCTTCCTCGGCCAAAGCGTCGACTTTGACTACGCAAATTCTATTTGCACGGGAAAGACGGACAATTTGTTTTCCGGTTGCAAGTCGGTTTCGCGCACGGTTTGGAATATTTCCGACCAGAACACTCGTCCCACCATGTCTGTCGCTGCACTTTACTCGAGAAGCTTTCGATTCAAGTGGAAATCTAATCAAGAGCCGTTGAGTGTAGCGAATAACGAGTTCGATGAAATTACCACGCCTTTTTGTGTACCGTTCCCGGCCGGTCGAGCCGGCCACCATAGAGCGTTTCACAAGATCGTTGGCGCACCGGCTAAATCGATAACGCATTGTGCACGCGTGTAATCCCGTTTACCGTGATAAAATTCACCGTACATATTTACGTATTATAATACGTATATCATACGAAAGAGCAATAAAACGTATCACACGCCGCTTGTCTGTCGTACATTCTATATCCGATTTACCGGAGCATTATACTTAACGCTGTTATTAATGAAAATGTTCGCAGCTTAATACTTCCCCGTCTTTCACAGGAGATATAATAGCGGCATTATGATAAGCAATTTGAAACAATGAGACATGAGTTGTATATTATCAGATAAATTTTTTAAAAGTTTTTTTTATATCATGTCTATTTCTTCGACATTGTTAGATTTTTTATATGAGATGACATATGTGAGACTTAGAAAGTAATAATAATTATGATCAAAAGTAAAGGATACTTGATAGATAGAGAATTTTAATTTTTATGAGAAAAGATTTTAAAAAGTGATACAGATCTAAAATATTCGATGAATGTTTAGATAATTTATTGGAACAAAAGCTATAAGAGAAGTTTATTTATGAAGGCGTACCTTCGATTAATATAATATACGTAGAAAAAGTAATAAAAAATATTTTTTCCCGTATAGGCAACCCTTAGACGGCACTTGCAATGTATAAGACCTGATGAAACTCTGTCACGGTTGTTCAGACATATATGCAAGATCTGTACTGCGCTTGCAAACCAATTAAAGATTAGTAATTACCGTCGGCGCGAAGGTCTTCCCGGCGATTTACAAGTATCAGGAGTCAGCCAGTTTGGCGCAGGTGGTTCTTAACATAAATTCGAAGTGCCGAGGGCGAACGGCATAAATTCTTGCGAGCGAGAGACCGTTGCGAGACTGCATACGTACACGTGCGCGTGCGCTTATTTAAGTGAAGTTTAAGCGACGCGGTCGACTCTTGCGCTCGCGGCTGCACCTGCTCGTAATTGTCCTGATATTTGCCGTGCCTCCCGTCTACCCGCCGTTTCCCGGGCTCGCCGCCGGCGCCGTCGCCGCGATCCATCTGGAGCTTATTTATTAATCGGCTCTAAATTCAAGCGCCAAAGTGCATCCCGCCCCGTGGTCGTATACGCACGCACGCACACATGTACGTAACGCACGTACGCATGTCATACACCGCGGAAGTGGAGCGTTTACAGAGTTGCGAATTGTCATCAAATTGTTCATTCGACGCGATGGCGTTTTTAACGGCCGCGGACGAATCGGGATGACTTTTTCATGGACGTTCATTCAAATTAAAAAAGAAAACAAATGAAAATAATTCATCCCGGGGAAGAAATTAAACTGCTGAGAGAGAACGAGCGCTAGTTATTTCCTCGGATGGCTTGTATTTTTATTAATTACAATATCGCTCTTCGCTACATTTCTAAACATTTCTATTGCTCTCTTTTTCGCCAATTTTGCAGTAAAAACGATGTATACAGTTCGATTAAAAAAAAAAAAAAAATTACGAATAAATTCCCGCGAAGTTCTACGATCGTTAGATTTTAGCGATTTTTTTGTCATTTCTCGCCGGAAATCGGTCCGATATTAAAGATAGTAAAGATCATGCAACGACGAAGATAAAGCGGTATGGAGATTCGAGATTAATCCATCCGAATCAATTTTGATTCAGATAGATTCGTATTGATAAGTTCGAACATGTACCGGCTCCCGTGAATGATGACGATGGAAAATAGATCTCGCCGCCCGCAATGTATATCAATACCGTTCACTTGCAAAATGCATTCAAGCTAACGTTTTTGTTCGGGAGATTATTCCCGGGTAAAATGCACATTTTGCATAACGGACTCCCATATTTTCCCTCGGTTGTTCGAGTCTCCGACAAATTTCAAATCAATTCCTCCTTGACGTAAATTCGACGGAAGCCCGTCGTTTATCATAATTTCTTACTTTCAACGTTAAAATCTCTATTATTCTGTGGCCTGCGTTTGAGAGAAAATATAGTGATGTCCTACATATGCAGGATACTGTGAAAATTTTTGACAATAATGCTCCACGCATTTTTAGAGACAAGTTTAAACTCATAAAAGAGTTGATTTAAAACATGTACATTTTAGTATTTATATTTGATGGTAATATTTAAATTAAAATTATATTCTTGATATTATTCTAATTTTAATATCGAAATATACATAATATATTATTTACTGACACGTTATATTTTATAAGTGCCGTTTCGAAATATTTAATAACAATAAGAGCATGTGTAATATCAAAAGTAAAAAATGCATGTACCAAATACAAACAAGTATCTAGAATATTTGTATGCTACGAATCAAATTAAAAAAAAAAGAAAAGAAAATTAAAACATACACATACACATACGTATATGGGTTATATGCATTTGACGTTTTTTATTTACCATTAAATGAAAATTTTTGTTACTCACCAGTCAATGTACAACAGCGAAGTTGATTACGTTGAAGTATTGATCTGCAACATACAAACATAAAATCTAAATTATAGCAATATGTATAATTAATATTTAGAAAAATTATTATTATACATCGGATATATAAAATTCGACGTATACAATAACAAAAATATTTAATAGAATAATCATATGAAATTTCTGCAATGATTATTTTTTGTTTAAATATAAACTAATATAAAATATAAAAGTCTTTCTTATTAATTCTTGTAGTAATAATTTAGTTACAGAGATAAACAAGTTAAGATAAATTAAAATAAAATTAGCATGTTATATGAGATAGATATGATTAGTAATTATTATATAATTCGTATTTTATTAAATCAATTAATAAAATATACGAAATATATAAACGTTTTTATGTCAATTTTTATAGTCTGTAAACGAAACTGCACAAATGTTAATATTATATTATAGTTATAGAATGGTTAATGTTATGCATTTATGATATTTGTATTATACGAACAATATTATAATTATATGTTATAATTTAAATAGCATTCTTGGATATTAATTGTAATAATTAACTTAGTTAGAAATTTAATATCTCTGAAGTATTAATTATATGATATATGGCTGTACTGTATAATAATTTGGATTTATATGTATAATACAAATATGCATATATTGGAAGTATTACAATCTATATATATATATGCGCTTTTTCAGAAATACAAATTATATTCTCTATATATTTATTTTACATTATTACCATAATTACATTGTAATACTTATTATCAGTACAAATATTAAACATAGACATATATACTCAATATTTCGCAAATATATTTCTTATGTACTCGCGACGCTATTGCATCGCTTGGTGAGTTTCGTGAAAGAAAAGTAATTTTTTATTTTATATCAGTAATTATAATTAAAATAAAATATTTTCTTATTCGAAGTCTTTCTAATTCTAAAAATCGAAATGTATAATTTAAGAAAACGTCGGCCTAAGATTATATATATATATATATATACACACGATGCCGTGATAATGACAAACAATAATAATTTTATGATTTTACAGATAAACTTTAAAAAAATAATGACTGTAATATTTTAATTTATTTTAATTCATTGTTATATATTAAAGTAAAAAGTATTATTATATTTAAATGTCATCCTAATTAATAATACCCGGATAACACCGCAATTTAGTCACCAAAAAACGTCAGACCATTTAGATATTTAATTAAATGTCTCGAGCGACGAGAATGTTTTTAAAGCAGATTAAATTCCGAAAGGGAAACAAAAAGAAAATCTCGTGGCATCGTTTACGTTGGGCGCGCCAAGGCGCTTAAATATAACAGAAGAATTTACGTCGGCCACCCCGTATTCCCGCGGGCGAAGCCCGTGTAAACGGCATTATCTGCTGTCCTCTAGGGGAAAGAGGGGTTGCCGTCCCTTCATTCCGTAAGATTCGTTTGCTCGTTAGACCGAATCTCTCGCCCTTCTATCCCGCGAGCCTCTGGGCAATGATGACCGGAATCAGGGATCGAGTAGAACTCGTTACCGGGTATCTCGCGAGTTTGCGCTTCCTAATTCGTAGTTTACTCCTGCGTTTGCTCAACAGATCATTCCGATAGATATTTTTGAACGTTTAAACTACACACAGAAAAATATTATTCTATTGCTAAGTAAAATGATTACTCAGTTTACTTTACTTCTTTTAAGTAACAGTTTCTAAGAGTTTTACTCGGCTTTATCGTGATCTGGTCGACTCCAAATATTTACTTATTAAACAAGACCTCTTTTCCCTATCCTTTATGTATACTGAGAAAAAAAGATGAGATATATAGTAAGAAATTAGCACATATCAATTAAAATATTATGAGCGAAACAGTGTACACGTTCTGTATCTGGCGCAAATCGTTTTCAATCGGTTTCTAGGTTTCGTTAGGTGCTCTATTTTCTTCCATATACTGCACAGATTTCGCGACAATGACAACACATCGCTCGTGATACGCTCTTCATATGTCCCTATCCGTAAACTACGGGATGCAGTTTTGCGTGACAATGGAGAGAACGAAGCCGCGGAGGCGATCAATAAGCAATTACGTAGATGTCGATAATATATCGAGCCTCATTGTATCGTCGCTTTAAGAGTTCGAATCGCGATACGCTGTCGCGAAACGACGACTAAGATCTATTATCCCTGTGTATACGGGTGTCACGTGTCCTGGCGCTACGCCCGCGAACAATCCCGCCGGCTCCATTGTCCCTGGACGGCGCAACGATCACGGTTCAAAGGATTCTAATCGAGTTCGTCCAATGGATCCGCGCGCGCGATCCGTCATCGCGATTCGGGTTATCCCGCACGCACGAGCACTTTCGATAATCGTGGCCGGTGCAGAATACCGTTGTTTGCGCAAGAGAATCCGGCACCGAGCGAGAGGGATCATCCTGGTTGCGTGGACGCGCAATCGATTCCGCTAAATCGATTTCGGACCGACTGCGACCACCCATTTCGGGAAACCATCCGGCCGAAAGATGTACTATGATTCCAATGAGTGGACGATGTCGTTGAAGCGACTAATGTTCGTAACGAAATCCGACTTTTTTTTTTTTTTTTTTTTTAGGGAAATTCGAGGATACATTCGAGCTTAGCCTGTGTAATCACTTCCATAATATTTTTCGCGCGGAAACCGCGCTTAAGACAAAAAAATAAACTTAATGAATCGGTATGCGTATTATTTAAAATTGCTCTGTCGTTTTAGTCCGTAAAATTTAAAGATATATTTTATCGAAAAATATATAGGCGGTAAAAAATTGCACGTACAAACATAACGTTACGTTCGATTCAATCTCGTTCGAGAGATTTCCCTCAAGGATGAATCGAGCGTATTTACGAGCTGCATCTATAATCGTAATCTCGTGAAGTATGTTCTCTGTTTGCATCGTGCTGCGCGAGCGAGCCGTGCGTTCGCTGCGTAACGAGAGCCTCTCGCAAAGAAGAGGAAGCAGGAGGATAATGCAAGCTGCTGCGAGGCATAGTTGCGCCCCATGTCGACGAGTAGTTATGATACGATTGAATCAGACGCTGCGACCCCGCAACAGAATGGTTTCCATATCCAGGAGGACGTCCTGCGCTCGGGAGAGTAAATCCGTTTCGCAGAATTTCATCTCTGCGCTCGCGGTGCATGCAAATATTTGGCCTCCCGAAGCGGGGTTATATAAAATTCGTTTCCCCGTTGAAATTTTTACGCTTCTCCCCGAATATTCCCGCCGACGTTCCTTTGACGCATTAGCATTACGCGTCTGCGAAGGGATTGTAGGATACGGTCTAACTCTCTTTGAAGCCGCAAATTGGAATATTACGAAATAAGGTCGCACACACGCAAATGTCACTTGAAATTCCCTACATTTTCAGTAATCTTTCTCGGGTAGCTATCTCGCTCGCAATAAAATTCTTGCAATTATATCACGAAATTATTCTCAAGATCAAATATCCCGTAATCGGTTTGTAAGCATTATTCTCGGTATATCTTTTTTTTCTGTCACACGTACGACGTGTTATTTGCTTCAAAGCATGTGTTACTGGCACGAGATTTTCTCATGGCACGTGAGCGCTTCAATCTTTCGCGTCGCTCGATAACACGCCGATCATAAATTTTTATACGCCACGCCGGAGGTACAGCTGAAAAACACCTCTCGGGGGTATCCGGATTCGTCCGTGCTGACGCGAAAAAAGGGAGGAAGAAACGCTTCTCGCGATGCTCGCTGAGATATATGTCGAGCATCGAGAGCAAACGGAAACAGTGCCTTGGCATTCAATTTCGATCTGTCTCTGAACTGAAAAATAACATTAAGTTTACAAATAACTAATCCCCATTTTCTAAAAAAAAAAAAACACATATGTCCATCAATTAAACGATATAAGATAAGCCAAGTGAGAAAAGAGAGTTAGTTTACTCTAAATTGTAAATTTTAAATCATGTTTTAATCGTTATAAGAAATGAAAAATTCAAGAATTGTATAAATCCTCTACACGTGTACAAAATTTTAAGTATCTCTAGACTTTTATAAATTTATAAGCTGCAAAGAGAAAAATTTTGTCACGAATTTTTTATAAACGCGCGCGTTTTACATAGCCTCCTTCAACGATTTGTCCATATAATTTGCTTTCGACGCGGTTTAACATTATTACCTTCAGTGCTTTATATGTCAAAATTTATTTCTGTTTGTTCTTGGCATCTCAGAGACTTTCATCGGTCCGCAATACGGAGCTGTCGTAAGTTTCGAGAGATCTCTGCGTAGCTTTTTCGAAGGAAAGAAGCTGAAAGGGGATAAAATTGCGCTGTACTTTCGCACCGTCAACCGTTCTTAATGCCACGATACAGAAAACTTTGTCGGTCCTATCCGTACTTTCTTACCCTTGTCGTTTTCCTTCACTCCCTCACTCCGTAACGCCTATCGTCCGAGTGGGCCACAGTCGGTGCTTTCAACTACGTGAAAATAATAAAAGAGACAAGAGAGAGGATACGTGGAGATCCTTCAAGTTTCCGATATCGGAGGAACAAAGTAAAGGAGAGGACGGATCTCTCCGCCACGGTTGTAACTTTCTCTCGGCGTGTGCGCGTTATCGGTAAACAACGTTTATTTTCCCCGCCCCGTTGTTTCCTTTTTCTTCCCGCGGAAGGAAAAGCACCTTTGTCCCGGAAATTTAATTACGTGCCGCATCGGCGCGCACGAGCGTGTGGCAGCTGTTTTTCTAGCTCGCCCGTCTTTCTTTTTCATAATGAATCACGCGAAAATTTATACGTAGCAAAGTTTCACAGTCTAAAGCGCAGACTGAATGAAAATTAAATGTTGGATCCATGCTCATAAAATCAGATTCTTTGTCATTAAAATTCTTCGCGTATGTAAAGAGACCTGTACAAATTTTACAATTTTTTCAAAAATGTTTTCTGCGTAGCTCGTGACGCATAATTTCCTCAAAATCATAACTTTGACGCAAATATAATCAAAGTTACTATCTCTGCCGATCAATATACATAAAAAT